AAGATGTGATCATCAAGAGTCAACATGGATTTATTAAGAAAAAGTAATGCTTAATTAGCTTTATTTCCTTTTTTGATAGATGTACTAGACTATTTGTTTCAGAGGACTCATCTTTCTTTTTCCTTCACTTCAACATGTTAGTTAGATTTAAGGCTTTATATTTAATTAATTTTTTGGTAAAGAAATAATTTTGTTTTATCATGCATTGATTTTTTTTCCCTTGATAGATGGTAAGATCCTTAAAAGTAAAGAACGTGACTTATTCATCTTTATAACCTATATGGCTGACACATAATAAACTCTAAATAAGTTTTTTTGGATGAGTGAATAAATAAGCAAATGGATAAAAAGAAGGCAATAAAATTGGTAGGTAAAACAGAATTCGGAGTAATAACTGGGAGTGATAATTGGGAGTGATATGATAAATAATCATATCAAAATTTTAAAAGACTTACTAGATTGATATGAAACAACCTGAAACTATTCTTTTATTCATTCAAAAATTATAACTCTGAAACAAGATAACCAGATCCCTGTCCTCATGGAAGCATACATTCTAATGGAGGGGCAGACAGAAGGCAAGTAAACCTATTTCAAGTTGTAATAAGTACAATAACAGTACAATGGACTGAGATATAGAATATGGGAGAGAGGCAACTTTATCTAGGGTGACTGGGCAAACCTCTTTGAAGAGACCTAAAGGATAAGAAGGAGGTAGCTAGCTACGTGAAAAGTGGCAGGAAAGTAGAGCAGCCAGCATGTGCAGAGGTGCTCATGGAGGAAGAATTTGGTGTGTTTAAGGACCTGAAAGAAAACTAGCGTGATAGTGTAATTGGCAAGAGGAGAGGTAGCATAAGATGAGGCGGTGCCCAGATTTTGAAAACTAGTTGTGCATTATGATAATGAAATACTGTAGTTTCCATATAATACCTGAACTTTGTTCTAAATGCAAAGGGAAGTTACTGTCAGCTTTTAATCAGTAGAGTGGTGTAATTCTATTTACATTTTAAGAAATCATATTTTTAGACTCAATCTCAATTTGTTTATTTTTATTTTTAAGTATTTTGTATTGAATTGTAATATATGGGCAGAAAGATAGACAAATCGTAACTATTTTTCTTTATCACTGTGTTGACCTTTGTACTGATTGTGCAAAAACATTGATGAGTAGAACTGCTGGTGTCTTAGCATGAGTCAAAGCAGTGGCACTGATCTGTCTATATGTGCATTTGGCAAAAATTAATCTTGACCCCCATCACATACCATATGCAAAGTTAATTCTTAATGGATTATAACCTGTTAAAAAAAAGCTTTATATGAATTAAATTTAGGAAAGTAGGTTTGAGCAAAGAATGATTCATGAATCGGGCAGCACTCAGAACCAGAAGAGGTTCAGAGAGCACCTGCCCCGCCCTCCACCCCAGTAGCGTGATCAGTGAGTTTTTATAGGCCAGACACAGAAGCAAAGTAGGGAAATCATCTGATTAGCTACAGCTAGGGATCTGCCTTATTGGGGCATGATGTACTGAGGCATTTGCCTTATTTGGGCATGGTGTGATGAGTTGGCTGCCGGTGACTGGCTGAAGCTGGATTGTTTGTTACCTGTCTCAGTTGGGTTTCAGTTTGTTTATGTGCTTATAAGTTAGGTTGCATTTGTTATGTAGGAACTCACAGTATGGAGACAGCCCTGGGCTAATGGCCTCCTGCTTATTTAATTTAACAAACCTAAATGTGAAAGGTAAAACAATAAAACTTCTATATAAAAAGCATAGACTAGGCCAAGATTTCCTACAGAGGACATAAAAAGTACTTACCATTTAAAGGGGAAAAAAAATGCCTCTATTTATGAGAAAAATTAACTGGTAATTTTGCTTTTTTGGAAGGTTGATACATTTTGTTATTGAGATTACTCTGGCCTCCTAAAAGGAATTGGGCAGTGTTCTTTATTTTATCAACCTTTGTATAAGATAAGTCTTGTTTCTTTTTTAAATATTTGTAAGAATTCACAAATGAAGCCATCTGGGCTTAGAGACTTCTTTGTGGGAAGATTTAAAATTTCAGGCTTAATTTATTTAAAAGATATATATCTCTTTCAAATTTTCTATTTCTTCTTATTTTAGTTTTGGTTAGTTTTTCATAGCAATTTGTTTATTTCACCTAAAATTTCAGATTTATTATAAAGTTATTCATAACATCTTCTTATTACTTTGTTAATGTTTGTAGTAGCTGTAGTGTTACATTGTTATACTTTTTCATTCTCGATATGGATAATTTATTAATTTATATCATCCTTTATTAATCTCCATTTACAAATTAATTTTTGCATCATTAATTATTATTCCTTTCTTCTGCTATATTTGGATTTAATTTGCTGTTCTTTTTCTAATTTTTTGATATGAAGATTTAGATCGTTGGCTTTAGCTATCATTCAGTTCAAAATACTATAATTTTCAGTATGATTTTGTCTTTGACCTGTGTGTTATTTGACATGTATTGCCTTATTTTCAAACAATGGAGGATTTTGTAGTTATCCCTATAGTACTGATTTCTAGCTTAATTCCATTTGGGAAGAGAATGTACTCTGATTTCAGTGATCTAGCATATGGTCAGTTTTGGTAAATACTGTGATCACTTATTCTGCCCTTAATTGGATACAGTGTTCTAGATATGTGAGTAAAGTTTGTTGTTTATATTGTTCAGATGTGCTATACCTTACTGATTTCTTATCTACCTGCCCTTTTATCTGTTAAGATAGGTGTAAAGCCTTCTGCGATTGTGAATTTGTCTGTTTCTTCGTTTAGATATGTCTTTTATTTATTTATTTTTGCTTGTGGTGATGGAATGATTTTGGGGACAAATGATTTAGGATTGTTGTATCTTCCATGTGAATTTCCCTTTGTTTTGAAATATCCCTTTTAATCTGTAGTAATGCTTTTTGCCATAAAGTCTACTTTATCTAAAATTATTTATAGCTTTGGTTTCTTTTGGTTAGTGTTTACATGGTTTATTTTTTCTATCTTTTTACTTTCAGCCTTTCTTTATCTTTATTATCGAAGTTTGTCTCTTCTAAGCAACATGCAGATTTTTTTTTCAGTGACAATTTTAGACTTCAAGTATTCAGTCCTTTTACATTTAATGTAGCTACTGATAT